TATATATATATATATATATATATATATATAAAACAATAGTATGCAAGTGCAAAATTTTATTAAATACAATAATAAATTATTCCATAGTTTAAGCACCCTAACATAAACTATACTTAATTATTTATATTAAATTAAAAAAACCCGAAGTCTTTTCTTGAATCACCGAAGCACGGAATTACTTAATTTTCTCACCGAAGCAAAAAAAAAGTCTCCAAAGTGAACTAACAAATTTACTTTTGCCATTAACTCAATCTCCTCCCCGTTTGCCATTAACGCGCTCTCTCTCTCTACCTCTTACATAATTGTCCATTTGCCGTTCAGAGTTGTTCCATGTCTTGGTAAGCACAGGGCATGTAGGTACGGCATGGCTTGTAATAGTTTGTTTAGAAGACAAAGCTTTTGAGCTAAAGAGTTTATTTAAGACGTTAATCTTACAATGTACATGCGTCGCATAAAGTTGGAAAACCTTCCAATTGATCATCTCCACCTCGACTTAAAGAGTTAGTTTATATACGGTACTAATCTTACAATGTACATGCATTGCATAAGGTTGAAAAACCCTCCAATTGATCATCTCCACCTTGAGATGTGTGGATATAGATAAAATAGAGAGTTCAAATATCACAGAACTCTGGTCAAATTTGTTAGAAATATGATATTAATTTATTTTTTAATATTTTTAAATTTCTTATTTCCCAATTTTATAAACTTTTTATTCACCCTAAGCCTGATCACCAACTTGCCGATCATAACTGATTTTCTGGAGGGCAATCTGGGTCGTCGAACCTTGGTTTTAACACTTGCTTTTAAGGAAATATTATTATTATTCAAAAAGGCTTGCAATGAAATCTTCTTAAACCACTTAGTGCGTATCATATTATTATTATTCAAAAAGGCTTGCAATGAAATCTTCTTAAACTTAAACTTGGATTTAAAGTTTTTTTACTTCTCGTGAATCATTGGAACAAACCTCCACCCATCTGTGTCGCTCGCCTTCACTCCAAATTTTACTTTGCTACCACATTTGACTTTCGAGAAGTCCAGTGTTGAAATTGGTATTCATACCTTCTTCAACCTTCATCAATTTTAGTATGTCGAATGGGTTTTACCTTTTAATAAAAACAAGGTCACATCGTAAGTTGAAGCTTTTCATTTTCTTACTCATTTTAAAACACTGTGATTTCCTATCAATAATCAGGATAGAAATCAGTTGGAACTGAACCGGTTCTGAGATGGAAAGGCCATAGTAGAAATATTGCTCTTTTCTTTTGAGAGAAGAATGTAACAACGTAAGAAAATATATATTATATGTAACAAGTTAAAAAAATGCACATTATGATATTGTATCACCATTATCCATACAATGGTGTATGTTTTGCCTATTGATCTAGGTTTTAAAACAAATGTCTTCCCTATGAAGTTGTGCTCCCGAGAGAAAATCACCTAAAAACACTCAAATATTAACCTTTTTTTTAAGGCAATTTTTAACAGACAAATTTGAGATAAAAAATTAAAATTAAAATTAAAATAAGGGCTGATGGGGATTTAAAGACAGTGAAAATATTATATAAGCTTAAAAAACAAAAGCAAATATAAATTGAAGGATTTCAAGGGGGAACCATGGACCGATGCCTTCTTAAAACTAGTTTGGTGCCATCCGATTCTCAGTCCAGATCGACAAT